ATCCCACTGACAGAAGAGGTTATGATCCTCACGGTGTCCATGGGGACCTTGTGGGCCATCTTCTCCTCTAGGCCCCTCTGATAAAAGTTGTCCCTGCGGTTGGTCTGGAAGACAGAACCAAGGAGTGCCTGCTTGTGGGCCGGCAGGGGCTTGCCATGGTCTCACCTGTGGTTTACTTTCCCGCAAGAGGCTTACACCCAGATACTGAGTCTCCCGGAAGCCCAGAGCTGTGCACAGGTTTCACTGTTTTCTAGACACCTGCCAGCTTACTGTGTGTGTGTGCGCACTTGTACATGCATGCAGGTTCATTGAGCAGTGCTCTTTCCTCAGCGCAGTGAGAACTATCTCTAAAGCCCAGCCACTCCGCCATCACTCACCAGCTTGTAGGTGGACAAGCTCAGCTGCACAGACACGTACTTCAGGCCCCAGGCTTTGATCCTGCCCTGGAATCCTGACAGGGCCAGCTACCCGATGATGCGGAGAATGGCCATCCTCACCTGAGAGGCCAGAGCACAGACATGCTGGGTGCTAGAGGTTCTGCAGGCACCCAATCCCATGACAGGAGACAGCTAAGATTTGAGGGTGCTGTGGTCTGGAAGGGGTCTCTGGGGCTACCTGGATGCTGCCCACTCTGTCCACCACCGCCTGCCTCATCCAGGGGACCCCGCTCAGCAGCAGGTCTACCCAGGAGCCTCATCTGTGCCCTTCAGAGACATGAGCACACTGCTTTCTCAGTGGGGCTGCTCCATCCTCAAGCGGCCCTGGTGAGAACCACCTGCCTCTTCTCTCGGGCTCCCCAGGGCTCATGCGTGGGGACGACACAGAACAAGCCTGTTCCCTCTGCCCCTGACAACCTCCAGGGACTGAAGACAGCTCTGCCTCAGGCTCAAGACCGAGCACCCTGTTCTCTTCCTGGTTTGTGCAGACCCTCACCATCCTGAACTGCACCCCCAGGACATGAGGGGTCAGCCTCAGGGGCTGTGTCCAGAAGCCAAGCTATTCTCCAGGGGGCTGAGACTGCAGTGACCAAGATGGTGGGTTTTAGCCTTTATTTGCAGAGTTGCTTCTCTCAAATGTGGTAATGACCTTACAAAACACCTAGCTAACCAAGCAGCTTGGGCTGACACTGGGTGTGTTTGGCCTTTCCTCTCTCCAGGGTAGTGTCAGAGCCCCTTCAGAGGAAAACTCCAGGTTCTTGGTGACAGGGAGGGTCTCGGGAGGGGGCCACAGCTTCGAGGAGCCTTATTCTTCTCCAGCCCCACTCAGGACTGGCTGGAAAGGTAGGTTTTCCATCAAAGGGCCTTCCTTGAGAAGGCAGCCTCGCCTCCACGCACCGAGCTGGAGGGGAGGGGTGGCAAGCAGGCTGCGGCTGGTGGAAGAAGGCGCCCTGACTTCCCTCCACTTGCCCGGCATAGCCCAGCACACACTCCCTTTCTGGGTCTCCCCGCGCTGTTACCTTGGACCGGGTGTCGGTCCTTGACCGACATCCGAGTGTGTTCTTGACCACTCGGATGGCCAGGGAGATGGTCCTGATGCTCATTCTGGGCTCTGAAAGAGGAAAGCCCGCCTGGAGGTCCACTGGCCTCAGGGCTGGGCTCTGAGGAGATGCCCAGAAGTGGTGAGGCCTCTCTGCCACCCTCCACGGGAGACAGAGGATCAGGACCCGTCCGTGCCGTGTCTCCTGAGAACCTCTGACTCAGCCCCACAAGCTCAGGGCCGCTGCCCACAGAAGTCACCCGGCGCTCTCAATGCCCACCCACCCCAGCCCAGGGGGTCGACTCTAGGCCTCACTCCCTCGGCCTCTGCTCCGCGTGTGTCTCTTTGGAAACTAGGGGACTCGCCTTGAGGGCAGGGCCTCCTCCTGAGAGCTCGGTGGTCCCCTCAGCGGGACACACAGGGCCAGACACACAGCGGACACACGCAGACCACCCCGCCCGGCTGCGGAGGCCGGGGCTCCGGGGCCAGGCTGCTGCGCTGTCTCTGGCTCCACCGCATCCCACTGTGTGACCGCGCGGGACTTACTCAGGCCCTCTGAGCCTCAGCTCCCTGCCCTGTGACAGGCGGACACTGAGAGCGGGTCCCTCCCAGCCTCTGTGAGCAGTGACACGAGCTGACACACACGGGGCCTGGTGTGCAACAGTGTGAGTGTGTGCTGGAGGGAGGGTGAGGAGGAAGATCAGGGAGGTAAGGAAGGGCGCGGAGAAGGCTCTCGAGAGGTCGGCGTGGACACATCCACAGTCAGGCGCTCAGGGCCTTGCTACACTCAAGTCTAGGTGCTACTAGACGTCACTGCAGGAGGAGGAAGAACAGGAAATCAGGTCGGGGTGGAAGATGTGGGAATTCAGGCACCAAGGGACGATGTTACACTTAAGAGCTTTTCATCTCTAAAATGGAAACCTTTCTTTCTGATTATAAAAATAGTCTATGTTCACTGAGAAATTAAAATAAAAGACAACCAGCCTTCATGGTTTAGGTCTATCCTTCTCAACTCACTTATGCATAAATGAGCACCTAGATTTCTTTCACATCACAGAGGTCATGGAGGTGGAGGTGATGGAATTCCAGTTGTCCTATTTGAAATCCTAAAAAGTGCTGCACTCAATATCTCATTCAATTTGGAAAACTGAGCAGTGGCCACAGGACTGGACAAGGTCAGTTTTCATTCCAGTCCCAAAGAAAGGCAATGCCAAAGAGTGCTCAAACTACCACACAATTCCACTCATCTCATATGCTAGTAAAGTAATGCTCAGAATTCTCCAAGCCAGGCTTCAGCAATATGTGAACTGTGAACTAGATGTTCAAGCTGGTTTTAGAAAAGGCAGAGGAACCAGAGATCAAATTGTCAACATCTGCTGGATCATTGAAAAAGCAAGAGAGTTATCTACTTCTGCTTTATTGACTATGCAGAAGCCTTTGACTGTGTGGATCACAACCACCTCTGGAAAATTCTGAAAGAGATGGGAATACCAGACCACCTGACCTGCCTCTTGAGAAACCTGTATGCAGGTCAGGAAGCAACAGCTAGAACTGGACATGGAACCACAGACAGGTTCCAGATAGGCAAAGGAGTACATCAAGGCTGTATATTGTCACCCTGCTTATTTAACTTATATGCAGAGTACATCATGAGAAACGCTGGGCTGGAGGAAGCACAAGCTGGAATCGAGGTTGCTGGGAGAAATATCAACAACCTCAGAAAAGCAGATGACACCACTCTTATGGCAGAAAGTGAAGAAGAACTAAAGAGCCTCTTGATGAAAGTGAAGGAGGAGAGTGAAAAAGTTGGCTCAAAGCTCAATATTCAGAAAACTAAGATCATAGCATATGGTCCCTCACTTCATGGGACAGATGGGGAAACAGTGCAAACAGTGGCTGACTTTATTGTTCTGGGCTCCAAAATCACTGTAGATGGTACTGCAGCCATGAAATCAGAAGACACTTACTCCTTGGAAGGAATTTTATGACCAAACTAGACAGCATATTGAAAAGCAGAGACATTACTTTGTCAACAAAGGTCTGTCTAGTCAAGGCTATGGTTTTTCCAGTGGTCATGTATGGATGTGAGAGTTGGACTGTGAACAAAGCTGAGCACCAAAGAATTGATGCTTTTGAACTGTGGTGTTGGCGAAGACCCTTGAGCGTCCCTTGACTGCAAGGAGATCCAACCAGTTCATCCTAAGGGAGATCAGTCTGGGGTGTTCATTGGAAGGACTGATGCTGAAGTTGAAAATCCAATACTCTGGTCACCTGATGCAAGGAGCTGACTCATTTGAAAAGGCCCTGATGCTGGGAATGATTGAGGGCAGAAGGAGAAGGGGGCAACAGAGGATGAGATGGTTGGATGGCATCACTGACTCGACGGACATGGGTTTGGGTGGACTGTAGGAAGTGGTGATGAACAGGGAGGCCTGGTTAGCCACGGTTCATGGGGTCACAAAGAGTTGGACATGACTGAGCGACTGAACTGAACTGAAACAGTGAGACATGACTGATAAAGTTTCACCTTCTCTGTTGCTTCAATTTGCATTTCTGTAAAAGATGGGTTTACTGTCAGGAGAACGTCTCTCACATACAGTTGCTCAGCGTGTGTACTGCACAAGGATAAGTAGCTGAAGGGCGGAACTGATGCCAACCAAGCACTTCTCAGGGCTTCCCAGGTGGCGCTAGTGAAACAGAACGCTCCTGCCAAAGCAGGAGCCATGAGAGATGTGAATTTGATCCGGGGGCCAGGAAGACCCCCTGGAGGAGGAAGTGGCAACCCACTCCAGTATTCTTGCCTGGAGAATCCCATGGACAGAGGAGCCCGGCGTGCTGGGAAACAATGGGCGGGACTGCAGCGCCTGAGCTCAGCACGTGTGCTTCTCCAGCCATGAAAGACCAGCCGCGGCCAGCAGAGGGCGGCGCGTTCACATTCAAGCGGACGCTCTCTGCGCCGGCGCTCTGGGGAACAGCGTGTCCCTGGGGGTCGCTAGGCCGGGCTTGGGGGCTGGGCTGAGGGGATTCGGAAGCAGGGTTTCAGACTAAGCTTAGGCACCGGGTCAACGGGGCTTCAGGGCACATCTATACTGTGTATCTAGGCTTTATAGGCAGCCTTCCAGCTAGCTTTGGCAGTTATACTAGGATTTGTGCGAATGGTTTGAAATTCAGGCTCAGGCAGAAGCTGGGATCAGGGCTGAAGGAGAGGGGCGAGGCCGTGGAGGGTGGGACACAAGGCTGCTTAGGTTCAAGAACGGGAAACGGAGCCACGGAGAGCCCTGACTCCGCGGCCCACCCAGCAGGGTCTAAGAGAGGAAATGGCCCAGGCACTTCCCCGGCAGTCCAGGGGCTAAGACTCCGTGCTTCCATCGCGGGGAGCATGGCTTCGATCCCCGGTCAGGGCACTCAGGTCCCACATGCCGCCGCAGGGTGCGGTCAAACAGTTAAGGAGAAATAAAGGCCAGATATGACTGCCACCTGCCACCCTTGCTCCCGCCCGGTCTCCCTGCGGGGTGAGTGCTCACCATCTGCGCTCACCACTGTCCTGATCAGGGCCAGGGTCCCCACGCGGACGGCCTCCTTGCTCATCTCCATCTGACTGAGGAAGAACTGCATCAGCTCCTTGGGGTAGGAGCGGGCTGCAGGGGTGAGGGGGAAGGACAGCTTCAGTCGTGCCCTGAGTCAAGGGCGGCAGCAGGACAAGGCAGCCCCGGGGCCCGGCGCTCAGAGGGGGACCAGCACTCCCGAGGGCTCCCAGGGGCGCCTCACCAAGGGCTATGAAGCAGTGCACGATCTCCGCCAGGTTCTCGCTGCTGAACCGCTGCTGGGCGGGGGCCCTGGAGCACACCTGGGGAGGGGCGGGCAGGGGGGTGGAGAGGTCAGCCCTGCGGCCGGGCACACGGGCAGGAGCCCCACCTGTGCCTCGCCCCCGGCAGGAGGCGGGAGGCGGGCATTGTATGGGGCCCCGCTGCCACCCTGGCACCCGTTGCGCTTGTTGGGACAGGACTCGGCCCCAGCGCACCTCCCCTGACCAGCCCCCAGGAAGCCTCCCCTGACCCGCCCCCAGCTCGTCACCCCTGACCCGCCCCCATTGCACCTCCCCTACCCGCACTGGGGAAGGCCACGCCGCGCGCGGCCCAGGGGCTCCCCCTCTGGATATATCAGTATCCCCTGGGAGCTGGGCAGAGAGGCCACCTCTCAAGCTCCGCCCAGACCCCTGAGTCCCACTCTATTTCCAGCCACCTCTGAGGATTGCCGTGGACACTACAGCTCCGCCGGGCTGCACTAGGGCCTCTGAGTGTGGTGTTCAAGGCCTTCTTCCCCTTTCTCCCCTAGCCACCTAGAGGTGCATCCCAACTTTAGACAGAAGGTCTGCACGTGGCTCCCCAAATGTGGCACATTTCTTTCTGTTCCCAGCTCTCACCAGAAGGGCCTCGCCTCGTCTGTAAATGAGTGACCCCCTTCATAATATACAGCACCCCAGGTCACAACTCGGCTCAGAATCTTGCAAAGACTCCATCTCACACACATCCAAGGCTGGTAAGACGTCGAACGGTGTCCCCCGCCACCAGAAGCCATGTCCACCCACAACCTCAGAATGTGAGCTCACTTGGAAATAGGGTCTTTGCAGACCTAATTACTTAAGGCTCTCAAGATGAGATCACCCTGACAATGCCTTACATCCAAGGACCAGAGTCCTTGCGAGAAGAGGAGAAGACAGAGAGAGACACAGAGATGGCCATGTGACCACAGAGGGGGGTGCTGGAGTGACACAGTGCCTGGGCCACCAGAAGCTGAAAGAGGCAAGATTCTCCCCTAGAGCCTACAGAAGGACCTTAGCCTGCCGACACCTTGATTTTAGACTCCCGGCCTCCAGAACCACGACAGACACATCTCTGTGGTTTTAAGCCACCTGCCTCCTGGCTCTTTGTTGCGACAGCCTCAGGAAAGCGCTATGAGAGCAGTGGCCTCACTGTGGGCCCCAGAGCCCTCTCAGGCATCATCCTTTCTGCCTGGCTTCCCTGGGGGCTCAAAGAATCTGCGTGCAACACGGGAGACCCGGCTTTGATTTCTGAGCCAGGAAGATCCTCTGGAGAAGGAACAGGCAACCCACTCCAGTATTCTTGCCTGGGAAATCCTACGGACCGAGAATCCTGGCGGGATACAGTCCACGGGATCGCAAAGAGTCGGACATGACTGAGTGGCTAACACATGTGTCACAGCAGCATATATTTCTTGGAAATCGGACAAGTGCCAGGTCCCGTGGCTACATCTCCCACCCGTGAGAACACCCCACGGGACACTCAGGAGCCCTAAAGACCCTGAGCCCCCCAGCCCAGGCCCCTCACCTGCGTGATAAAGAGCGCCTCCAGGCTGCCCTGGTACCCTGCCAGCAGCAGAGGGATGGAGTCGTACACCTGGTCCTGCAGGGCATCCCTGGGCAGGAGGAGGTTCAGCATGGGCTTCAGGGACTTGATGACCCCCAGCTTCACCTAGCACAGGAGCCTGGTCTCTAGACCCCTCGGCCAGGACCACCAGGAAGGTCCTGTGACATCAGCCCCCAGCCTCGGAATCAGGGACAGGTGACTGAGGGGACTTTGGAGTAGGGTCCAGGCCTCCCGCGGGCCCCCCTGCTCCCAAGCCTGTCCCCCAAGTCCTGACTCTCACTCAGGACACCTTGGACAGGTGCTCAACCTCTCCGTGTCTCTGTTTCCTCATTTGTAAAACGGTCCTATGACCCGGAGGTGGCGTGGAAATGGCTCCCACAAGTGATCCGCTCGGAGAGTGCCCGGCACACGTGGAACAGGGACCCTGGTCCAGCAACTCCAGGGGCCTTCATCAAGACACCCGCAGGGCCCCCCTGGCTCTGCCGATCAGGTCTCCCCCTCCTTGGACCCAGTGATATCTCAGCCCCGCCGGCTGCACAGGCTGGAGAGCGATGACCCGAGGACCACGGGCTCCCACCCCCACCCGGGAGGGCCCGTCTCACCTCCGGGGTGTTGTTCCGCAGCCACACCGTCACGAAGTAGCGATACATGGGGAACAGCTTCAGTGCAAACTGGTCCTCAGTCATCACGGGGTACACGCTGTCCTCCAGGTGCCTCAGGTAAAACTGCACCGTCTCGCAGAAGGTCTCCATGGCTGCCCCGGGGCACGTGCAGTGAGCCCCGAGGGCCAGGACGCACAACAGAGCCTTCCGGGGCGCCTTCTCAGGAGGAGCCCTCACACTTCCATAACCAGCAGGTTACAGAGATGGCCAGAGATGCTGCTAGGAAAGTCTCCTGCAGCCCTCGCCATCTGCCTTTCCAACCCGCCTCTCAGCTCCTTAAGTTTGGTCCTGCATGAAGCCCCTCCCTGTCTGAGGGTGAAAGACTCCCCCGAGGGGTGGAACACACACGTGTGACTGGGCCCCAGCCTTGAGGTTCATGTTGCAAGGTCAAGGGTGAGACCTCGAAGAAGACTTTCTAACTCAGATCCTGGGGACTCCAAAGCAAAGAGTGGCCAGTACGTTCTGTCCTACTTTTCTCATGTATTGGGGACTTGGGGCCACAAAATCATGACATAATCAAAACCTGGGGCAAGGGGATCAGATATAAATGACCCAAGTCAAGCCCGAGCTGGGACCATCTCCCTGGTCTCCCTCTCCTGCGATCCCCACTGCCCTTTGTCTCTACCTGTACACCCCCCTCCTCCTGTGAGCACCCTGATCAGGCCAGACCTGCAGGCCCA